ATGTTCATTAGAATTGTGGGATCATTCATAAGTTTTGGGCCATTAACTTCCAATTAATTCAAATTATTCTCAGCTGCCTCAGAAATTAATAATGGCTATTCATATTGAAAACCTTAAGAAGGAATAAATTGAATTTTTACCAATTTGCCTGCAAAAACCCCACACAGAAATATGGGTTTGTATGGGAATGTTCATTAGAATTGTGGGATCATTGTAAGTTTTGGGCCATTAACTTCCAATTAATTCAAATTATTCTCAGCTGCCTCAGAAATTAATAATGGTTACTCCTATTGAAAACCTTAAGAAGGAAAAAATTGAATTTCTGCCAGATCTGACTGCAAAAACTCCACATAGAAAATCCTATGGGTTTATATGGGAATGTTCATTAGAACTGTGGGATCATTTCTAAGTTTTGGGCCATTAACTTCCAATTAATTCAAATTATTCTCAGCCAGTTCAAAATTAATAGAGGCTATTCCTATTGAAAACCCTAAGGAAGAAGGAAAAAATTGAATTTTTACCAGATTTGCCTGAAAAACCTCCACACAAAAATATGGGTTTATACAGGAATGTTCATTAGAACTGTGGGATCATTCATAAGTTTTGGGCCATTAACTTCCAATTAATTCAAATTATTCTCAGCCAGTTCAGAATTAATAATGGCTACTCCTATTGAAAACCTTAAGGAGGAATAAATTGAATTTTCACCAGATTTGCCTACAAAATCTCCACACAGAAATATGGGTTTATATGGGAATGGTCATTAGAACTGTGGGATCATTCATAAGTTTTGGGCCATTAACTTCCAATTAATTCAAATTATTCTCAGCTACCTCAGAAATTAATAATGGCTATTCATATTGAAAACCTTAAGGAGAAGAAAAAAAATTGATTTTTTACCAATTTGCCTGCAAAATCTCCACACAGAAATATGGGTTTATATGGGAATGTTCATTAGAATTGTGGGATCATTCATAAGTTTTGGGCCCTTAACTTCCAATTAATTCAAATTATTCTCAGCTACCTCAGAAATTAATAATGGTTACTCCTATTGAAAACTTTAAGAGGGAAAAAATTGAATTTTTAACAATTTGCCTGCAAAAACTCCACACAGAAAACCCCTATAGGTTTATATGGGAATGTTCATTGTAATTGTGGGATAATTTCTAAATTTTGGGGCCATTAATGCAACTTTCAATTAATTCAAATTATTCTCAGCCAATTCAGAGTTAATAATAGCTATTCCTATTGAAAACCTCAAGAAGGAAAAAATTGAATTTTCACCAGATTTGCCTGCAAAAACTCCACACAGAAAATCCTATGGGTTTGTATGGGAATGTTCATTAGAATTGTGGGATCATTCATAAGTTTTGGGCCATAAACTTACAATTAATTCAAATTATTCTCAGCTACCTCAGAAATTAATAATAGCTATTCCTATGGAAAACCTTAAGGAGAAGGAAAAAAATTGAATTTTTACCAGATTTGCCTGCAAAAACTCCCCACAGAAAACCTTGTGGGTTTCTATGGGAATGTTCATTAGAATTGTGGGATCATTCATAACTTTTGGGCCATTAATTTCCAATTAATTCCAATTATTCTCTGCTACCTCAGAAATTATTAATAGCTATTCCTATTGAAAACCTTAAGGAGAAGAAAAAAAATTGAATTTTCACCAGATTTGCCTGCAAAAACTCGACATAGAAAATCCTATGGGTTTGTATGGGAATGTTCAGGCAGTGAAATATTTCAAATATTTACTCCTTTTGCATGGGAATAAAAATAAATAATAATAAATATTGGCAACATTTGCAAGAGCATTTCAAAAGCAAACACCCCAAGTAGTTGCTCTTGGTTGTCCACACCAAAGAATTAAAATTATTTTTAAAGTATTGAAAGAATTCATTTAAAATTAAAATAGTTAAAATGAAAACTATCCATATTAAAATAATTAAAATTAAAATAATTCATTTTTTTCTTGCAGGCTTGCTCCTCTTCCTCTTGCTCATTTGAAGGCCTGAAAGGAGTTTTGGAGCAGCAAAAAACCACCTAAAAAGCAGAATTAACTCAATTAACTCACCAGAACTCGATGGCTTTGGTGTAGGAGACGATGGCAGAGCCCAGGGCTCCCTGGGCAAATTCTGCATTTCCTCTCTGCTTCATGGCCTCGCTCTTCTGGGGGACAGAAAAACAAATTTATGCATTAAATTCATTACATTCAGCAGTGTAAAAGTCATTATTTCATGTCAGTGAGACCAGAAAAAAACAAATTTATGCATTTATTAAATTCAACAGTGTAAAAATCATTATTTCATGTCAGTGAGACCAGGAACAGAAAATTTAAACACTAAAATTTATCCACTAAAATTTATCCACCAAATTTATTAAATTCAGCAGTGTAAAGATTATTATTTCACGTCAGTGGGACCAGGAATAAACAAATTTATGCATCAAATTTATTAAATTCAGCAGTGTAAAAGTCATTATTTCATCTAAGTGGGAGCAGGAAAAACAATTTATGCACCAAATGTATTAAATTCAGCAGTGGAAAAATCATTATTTCATCTAACTGGGACCAGGAAAAAACAATTTATGCACCAAACTCAATAAATTCAGCAGTGTAAAAATCATTATTTCATGTCAGTGGGACCAGGAACAGAAAATTTAAACACTAAAATTTTTACACCAAATCCATTCAATTCAGCAGTGTAAAAGTCATTATTTCATGTCAGTGAGACCAGAAAAAAACAAATTTATGCATTTATTAAATTCAGCAGTGTAAAAATCATTATTTCATCTAAGTGGGGCCAGGAACAGAAAATTTATCCACTAAAATTTATCCACTAAATTTTATCCACTAAAATTTATCCACCAAATTCATCAAATTCAGCAGTGTAAAAATCATTATTTCATCTAAGGGGGACCAGGAATAAACAAATTTATCCACTAAATTTATTAAATTCAGCAGTGTAAAAATCATTATTTCATGGAAGTGGCACCAGAACAGAAAATTTAAACACTAAAATTTATCCACTAAATTTTTTACACCAAATTCATGAAATTCAGCAGTGGAAAAGTGATTATTTCATTTAAGTGGGAGCAGGAAAAACAATTTATGCACCAAACTCATTAAATTCAGCAGGGTAAAAATCATTATTTCATTTAAGTGGGGCCAGGAACAGAAAATTTAAACACTAAAATTTATCCACCAAATTCATGAAATTTAGCAGTGTAAAAATCATTATTTCATGTAAGTGGGACCAGAAAAAAACAAATTTATCCACTAAAATTTATCCACTACATTTTATCCACCAAATTCATCAAATTCAGCAGTGTAAAAAGTCATTATTTCATGTCAGTGCAACCAGGAAAAAACAAATTTATGCACCAAATTTATTAAATTCAGCAGTGTAAAAATCATTATTTTATGTCAGCGGGACCAGGAACAGAAAATTTATCCACTAAGTTTTTTACACCAAATTTATTAAATTCAGCAGTGTAAAAGTCATTATTTCACGTCAGTGTGACCAGGAATAAACAAATTTATGCATCAAATTCTATAAATTCAGCAGTGTAAAAGTCATTATTTCATCTAAGTGGGACCAGGAAAAAACAATTTATGCACCAAATTTATTAAATTCAGCAGTGTAAAAATCATTATTTCATGTCAGTGGCACCAGGAACAGGAAATGTAAACATTAAAATTTATCCACTAAAATTTACCCACTAAATTTTCTGTTCTGGTGCCACTGACATGAAATAATGATCATTACACTGCTGAATTTAATGAATTTAGTGCATAAATTGTTTTTTCTGGTCCCACTGACATGAAATAATCACTTTTACACTGCTGAATTTCATGAGTTTGATGGATCAATTTTAGTGTTTAAATTTTCTGTTCCTGGTGCCACTGACATGAAATAATGATTTTTATCCTGCTGAATTTAACACAATTGGTGCATAAATTTGTTTTTTTATGGTCCCACTTAAATGAAATGATGATTTTTACACTGCTGAATTTAATGAGTTTGGTGGATAAAATTTAGTGGATAAATTTTAGTGTTTAAATTTTCTGTTCCTGATCCCACTGACATGAAATAATGATTTTTACACTGCTGAATTTAATAAATTTGGTGGATAAATTTGGTTTTTTCTGGTCCCACTTAAATGAAATAATGATTTTTACACTGCTGAATTTAATGAGTTCAGTGCATAAACTCATTGAACTCAGCACCGCAATATTCAATATTTCACGGAATAAAGGGAATTTTTGATGTCAGAATGAAACACTCGAGCTTTGGAAATATTTCCCTTTAATAATTTGTGGTTTTAGGACAATCAGAACCCCAGAAATGCCCAGACCCAGCCTGGGGGGTTTCTCACCTTCCTGGAGCTGTCGCAGGTCAGGGCCTGCAGATCGGCCACCAGATCGAAATCCTCCAGCGCCACCTTGGTGATGTAGCGCTTCCCTGGGGAGAGCAGGGATTCCAACAGCAAATTCCCAATCAGCAATTCCCAACAGCAAATTCCCAATCAACAATCCCCAACAGCAAATTCCCAATCAGCAATTCCCAAAGAGCAAATTCCCAATCAACAATTCCCAAAAAACAAATTCCCAATCAACAACTCCCAAAGAGCAAATTCCCAATCAACAATTCCCAAAAAACAAATTCCCAATCCACAATTCCCAAAGAGCAAATTCCCAATCAACAATTCCCAATAAAAGAATTCCCACTAAAAGAAATTCCCACTAAAAGAATTCCCACTAAAAGAATTCCCACTAAAAGAATTCCCACTAAAGGAATTCCCACTAAAGGAATTCCCACTAAAGAAATCCCCACTAAAAGAATTCCCTCTAAAAGAATTCCCACTAAAAAAATTCCCATTAAAAGAATTCCCACTAAAGGAATTCCCACTAAAGGAATTCCCAATAAAGAAATTCCCACTAAAGAAATTCCCACTAAAGAAATTCCCACTAAAGAAATTCCCAATAAGAAAATTCCCAATAAGAAAATTCCCAATCAACAATTCCCAATAAAAGAATTCCCACTGAAAGAATTCCCAATAAAGAAATTCCCACTAAAAATCCTGCTCTGCTTCAGCCGGCCCCCAAAAGCTGCAACAAATTCAGCAACAGGAAGAGCCCAAATAATAATAATAATAATAATAATAATAATAATAATAATAATAGTTGTTGTTGCTGCTGTTATTGTTGTAACAAAATTCCCACTAAAAGAATTCCAACTAAAAGAATTCCCACAAAAAGAATTCCCACTAAAATAAATTCCAAATAACAAAATTCCCACTAAAACAAATTCCAAATAACAAAATTCCCACTAAATGAACTCCCACTAAAGGAATTCCCGCTAAAAGAATTCCCACTAAAGAAATTCCTACTAAAGAAATTTCCACTAAAATAATTCCCACTAAAGAAATTCCCTTAAAGAAATTCCCAATAACAAAATTTCCACTAAAGGAATTCCCACTAAAGGAATTCCCACTGAAATAATTCCCACTAAAGAAATTCCCTTAAAGAAATTCCCACTAAAGGAATTCCCACTAAGGAAATTCCCACTAAAGGAATTCCCACTAAAATAAATTCCAAATAACAAAATTCCCACTAAAGGAATTCCCACTAAAATAATTCCCAATAAAGGAATTCCCACTAAAGGAATTCCCACTAAAGGAATTCCCACTAAAGGAATTCCCTCTAAAAAAATTCCCACTAAAGGAATTCCCACTAAAAGAATTCCCACTAAAAATCCTGCTCTGCTCCAGCCGGCCCCAAAAGCTGCAACAAATTCAGCAACAGGAGGAGCCCAAATTATTATTATTATTATTATTATTATTATTATTATTATTATTATTATTATTATTATNATCCCCAATATTCCAAACTTCAGATTCCCAAAGATCCCAAACTCCAAAATCCCAAAGATTCCAAATTCCAGAATCCCAAAAATTCCAAAATCCCAAAGGCTCCAAATTCCAAAATCCCCAAGATCCCAAACTCCACAATCCCAAAGATTTCAAATTCCAGATTCCAAAATATGGGAATATTTGGAGGAAAATTCCCTTGGAAATTGGAATATTTGGAGGGAAATTCTTTGGGAAAATGGAAATATTTGGAAGGAATTCTTGAGGAAAAATGGGAATATTTGGAGGGAAATTCTTTTGGAAAATGGGAATATTTGGATGGAAATTCCCTTGGAAAATGGGAATATTTGGAAGGAATTCTTGAGGAAAAATGGGAATATTTGGAGAGAAAATATTTTGGAAAAATGAGAATATTTGGAGGAAAATTGCTATGGAAAATGGGAATATTTGGAGGAAAAATGGCAATATTTGGAAGGAAATTCTTTGGGAAAATGGGAATATTTGGAGGGAAATTCTTTTAGAAATTGGGAATATTTGGAGGAAATTATTTGGGGAAATGGGAATATTTGGAGGGAATTCTTGAGGAAAAATGGGAATATTTGGAGGAAAAATGGGAATATTTGGAGGGAAATTCATTTGGAAAAGTGGGAGGAAATTCCCTTGGAAAATGGGAATATTTGGAGGGAAATTCTTTGTGAAAAGTGGGAGGATTTGAAAGGAAATTCCATTGGAAAATGGGAATATTTGGTAGGAATTCTTGAGGAAAAATGGGAATATTTGGAGGAAATTCCTTTGGAAAATGGAAATATTTGGAGGGAAATTCTTTGGGAAATGGGAATATTTGGAAGGAAATTCTTTGGAAAATTGGGAATATTTGGAGGGAAATTCTTTGGGAAAAGTGGGAGGAAATTCCCTTGGAAAATGGGAATATTTGTAGGAAATTCTTTTGGAAAATGGGAATATTTGCAGGGAAATTCCCTGGGAAAATGGGAATATTTGGAGGGAAATTCTTTTGGAAAATGGGAATATTTGGAGGGAAATTCTTTGGGAAAAATGGGAATATTTGGAGGAAAAATGGGAATATTTGGAGGAAATTCTTTTGGAAAAGTGGAAGGAAATTCTTTTGGAAAATGGGAATATTTGGATGAAAATTCTTTTGGAAAATGGGAATATTTGGAGGAAAAATGGGAATATTTGGAGGGAAATTCTTTGGAAAAATGGGAATATTTGGAGGAAAAATGGGAATATTTGGAGGGAAAATGGGAATATTTGGAGGGAAATTCTTTGGGAAAATTGGAATATTTGGAGGAAAAATGGGAATATTTGGAGGAAATTCTTTTGGAAAATGAGAATATTTGGAAGGAATTCTTGAGGTAAAATGGGAATATTTGGAGGGAAATTCTTTGGAAAATTGGGAATATTTGGAGGAAAAATGGGAATATTTGGANGGGGGGTTCTCACCTTCCTGGAGCTCTCGCAGGTCAGGGCCTGCAGATCGGCCACCAGATCGAAATCCTCCAGCGCCACCTTGGTGATGTAGCGCTTCCCTGGGGAGAGCAGGAATTCCCAAAATCAGATTCCCAATCAACAATTCCCAAACAGCAAATTCCCAATCAACAATTCCCAAAGAGCAAATTCCCAATCAACAATTCCCAAAGAGCAAATTCCCAATCAACAATTCCCAATAAAAGAATTCCCAATCAACAATTCCCAAAAACAAATTCCCAATCAACAATTCCCAAAGAGCAAATTCCCAATCAACAATTCCCAAGAAAAGAATTCCCAATAAAAATATTCCCAATAAAAATATTCCCACTAAAAGAAATTCCCAATAAAAGAATTTCCACTGAAATAATTCCCACTAAAGAAATTCCTACTAAAGAAATTTCCACTAAAATAATTCCCAGTAAAGAAATTCCCACTAAAAAAATTCCCTCTAAAAAAATTCCCACTAAGAGAATTCCCACTAAGAGAATTCCCACTAAAAGAATTCCCACTAAAAAATTCCCACTAAAGGAATTCCCACTAAAGGAATTCCCACTAAAGGAATTCCCACTAAAAGAATTCCCAATAAAGGAATTCCCAATAAAAATATTCCCACTAAAAATCCCACTCTGCTCCAGACGGCCCCCAAAAGCTGCAACAAATTCAGCAACAGGAGGAGCCCAAATTATTACCATTATTATTATTATTATTATTATTATTATTATTAATAATAATAATAATAATTATAATAATAATAATAATAATAATAATAATAATAATAATAATAATAATAATAATAATAATAATATCATTATCATTGATACTGTTATTATTACTATTGTTATTGTTATTATAACAAAATTCCCACTAAAATAAATTCCAAATAACAAAATTCCCACTAAAAGAATTCCCAATAAAAGAATTCCCACTGAAATAATTCCCATTAAAAGAATTCCCACTAAAGAAATTCCCACTAAAAGAATTCTCACTAAAAGAATTCCCACTAAAGGAATTCCCACTAAAGAAATTCCCAATAACAAAATTCCCAATAACAAAATTCCCACTGAAATAATTCCCACTAAAAGAATTCCCACTAAAGGAATTCCCACTGAAATAATTCCCACTGAAATAATTCCCACTGAAGAAATTCCCACTAAAAGAATTCTCACTAAAAGAATTCCCACTAAAGGAATTCCCACTAAAGAAATTCCCAATAACAAAATTCCCACTGAAAGAATTCCCACTGACAGAATTCCCACTAAAAATCCTGCTCTGCTCCAGCCGGCCCCCAAAAGCTGCAACAAATCCAGCAACAGGAGGAGCCCAAATTATTATTATTATTATTATTATTATTATTATTATTATTATTATTATTATTATTATTACTATTACTATTATTATTAGTACTAATATTGTTATTGTTGTTATAACAGAATTCCCACTAAAAGAAATTCCCACTAAAGGAGGTCCCACTAAAGGAATTCCCACTAAAGGAATTCCCACTAAAATAATTCTCAATAAAGGAATTCCCACTAAAATAATTCTCAATAAAGGAATTCCCACTAAAAGAATTCCCACTAAAAGAATTCCCACTAAAAGAATTCCCACTAAAGAAATTCCCACTAAAGAAATTCCCACTAAAGAAATTTCCACTAAAATAATTCCCAGTAAAAGAATTCCCAGTAAAAGAATTCCCAGTAAAGGAATTCCCACTGAAATAATTCCCACTAAAGGAATTCCCACTAAAGGAATTCCCACTAAAAGAATTCCCACTAAAAGAATTCCCAATAAAGGAACTCCCAATAAAAAAATTCCCACTAAAGGAATTCCAACTAAAGAAATTCCCAATAACAAAATTCCCACTAAAGAAATTCCCACTAAAGGAATTCCCAATAAAAATCC